TCTCAAGTGGCGGGTCTCTCCAGATACCAGGCAAAAGTGCGGGGTCCACCCCAGTTGCGAGTGTCTGGTCGACTTCTGTGTCGGTGACCTCGACAGATTCTTCTGCATCCTCCCCATTGGTGTCAGTGGATTGTGGTGAGGCAGTGGCCGAGTGCGTAGGTCGGACTGAACCTACGGGGCTGCGGCTGCGGTCGCGAGTTTGTTCGCCTGACGAGGAAGGGAGCTCAAACGGTGCAGCCGTGTGGAAGCCTAGTGTCACCCCCTCGGATGGGTCAACTTCCTGTGGCTGCAGTGGGGCGCCAAGGTTCACTTCAAGCTGGTGGGTGAAGATCGAGCTGAATTGGCGTGCCCAGTTTAGCCATCTTATCCTTGCCAGCTCTTCTCCAGGGATGCGTTGCAGTGGAAGGTATCCGCGTGGAACAAGACGACGTAGGAGGATGTCCAGGACGACTTGTAGGGTTTGCACCCCATCCTCAAGGCGAGTTGACAGGCGTGCAAGAGCCCATCTAGCCTCCGGCCCAGTGCCATCGATCTGGTGGTCGTCTATCTGGTGCAGCAACTCTTCCACCCTGTTGACATTCTCCTGGGTGAGCCCGTTCTCTTGTAGTGTGGCTCTCTCACTGTTGGTGAGCTGCATGAGCCAGGTAACTTCTTCGTCAAGGGTCCTGACATTGGGGAAGAGGCCAAAGCCGGGCACCGCGAGCACCGGGACATCACCCTCATCCGGAGCACCAGTTGTGGTAGTCGACGAGGAGGAGGAGGAGGGAGCCCACCATGAACACGAAGAGGTCGGTGTTGTCTCCTTCTCCTCCCATTGCCAATGGTCATCAGTGCATTGCCAGCCATCCCACGTAGCCGAGGACCACCACGTCGACCACTGCAAGTCAGACCAGGAAGCAGGCCAATTCCATGTGGTTGCTTCATTCCATTCAGAGGGGGTGGTCCAGTTCACCCAACCGGTAGAAGCGGTTCCCGAGGAATTCACCCCAGCAACTTCTCCCAGTGTCGAAGATGGTGGCTCCTGAGTGGGCACCCCACTGAAAGGTGGTTCTCCTTGCATCTCAGCAGATTCTTGGGCGGCTCCTTCACGTTGACGGCGATCGCTGGCATATTGAACTAACCAGGCGGGTTTCCAACGTCCATCGAAGTAGGCCTGCATCCGCTCTTTTTTCCGACGGGTACGGATTTCACCTCCTCCCCCACGATGAGCACGAAGTTCTTGCTCGGTGCGAGGACGGTTTTGCCAGACACCGGCGCGCCAGAACCCAACAGCCTGGTTCGTGCCGCCATCAGAAGAAGACATTCCAGATTCCGTGTCCGCAAGGTCACCCTCCTCACCGGCAGTTGTGCTCTGTTCTCCTTCAGGTTGCGGACCAGACCGTACAGTGAACTCTTTGCCCGTCCAATTCACCCCATTCAGCAGAGTGTCTCCATTAACAGGGTCCACACCTTCAATGCCGGTGAGCTGAAACCATGGTTCCGCTGGAGGGTCTTCTTCAGGTACAGGTAGTAGAGGAGAAGGAGCACGTTCCGCAGCGAGTCGTTCACGTAGGCGATGACGTAGTGTGCCCTCCGCGTTGTGCCAGCGATCTCGTCCCGGACGGACAGAGCCAAAACGCGAAGTGATCCCTGTTTCTTCCGTAGGGGCGGCGGGATCTCCACTCTGTCCAGGCTGTGTGGTGCGCGTCGGTCTTCCTCGTAGGCGTCTCTTGTCAATGACTAAGTCAAGCCAATCGGAGTTGCCCGAGGGTCTTGGAGCCTCAACATCTCCTGGCGCCCACGTGGTCCAGGTCGGGTAGAAGCTTTGTGGTTCGCCTGGTGGAACTCCGACAGTGGCAGCAGACCCTGTGCCAAGAGGGGCAGCCGCCATGTGACACCAAGAGGAGCTTGAACTGGAGGCCGAGGACGAAGAGGTCGGCAAACATGTCGAAGACGACGTACAGGGCGCGGGGGAAGAGGACGCAGATCCCGGTGTGCTCGCATGGACATCACGTAGTGGAGGCCAGTCCCATTCCGGTAGAGCACGTGGAGCATCATCCCCAGCATCGTCTGCAGTCTCCTCATGTTCTTGGACGGGTCCGAGGTCAACTGGTGGTGCCAGCGTTTGTTCCTGCGAGCCCTCAGCACCTTCCCTGAGTGAGCTCGATCTCGCCATCTCAAACTCTTCCCGTTGCAGGCCGATACAAAGATCCTCATCCCAGGCGTTGGACATGTAGGCAATCACCCTGGGGTCCGATCGCAGCAGTGGCCTTGAAGACGACGAGGAGGAAGTAGCATGGATGTCATCCCGTGTGCCAACCATCGCAGTTCTCACATCACCCTGCTGGTCAAGTGGAGGCCTGGTAGGAGGTAAAGAGGAGGAGTTGCCCAAGTCATCCCAAGCACTGGCCACGACGAACGGAGCGCCACCAACTTGTGCGTCGCCTTGCTGTGAAAGAGGCTGGGTGGACAGCGGAGTGGGTTGGGTGGAGGAAGCAGGTAGAGCGTCACCCTGGGCAGCAGGAAGAGAGGGCTCGTCCAGTTCATCATACCATGCACTATACTCCGGCGTCTGCGAAGAGGAGGCAGGCATGCGTGATTCCCATAGATGGCCCGGGTACTCGTCATCTTCCTCCACATTGCCGGCCGGTTCCACCACAAGGCCCAGGTACATCACGAGGAGGAGCGGGAAGATGGGCAGCCCTTGGCGCAGAGCCATTGTAAGCACGAAAGGTGAAGGTGCGGGAGGGAAGTCCAAAATTCACCTGGAGCCAAGGTCAACGATCACACCCATGAGTTGTAACGACACGTGTACGGCAGCAGTGAAGCCGAGTGTTCACGATCATGTAGAGAGCCTAAAGAGCAAGTACAGATAGGAAAGATAGTTCAATCTCTCAAAACGAGGCTGCGAGGGAAAACGTTCACTTTCATCAGAGTCAACAAAACATCCTGCCATCCCACCGAAGGAGAAAAGAAGGGCAACACCCGTACACCTCAGTCTGGTCAAACTTCACATCGTACGGGAGAAGTCCCCGATTAGCTTCAGCAGGAGAGGGCCAGCTGTCTACTTCTGGTCCATTTCAGGTCCCACTTATCAAGGAAGGCTTCGCGCTCTCTGGTCCATTTCTGACGGTCGTTCGCGAGAAGCCTCCACTCATTCCCATGAACTTCCGCAAGCTGTCTCTCCAGGTTATGCACATAGACATGGCCAACGTGTCTGATCCCAACAGTCGGGCTGAGTGCTTGCTGTCGCCTCCACCATGCAGTACTCCTCCATTCAAGAGCAGTCATCGGCAATGAGGGGTGCGGGATGCAACGAGGACCAAGAAATTCCACCCTCCTCGCCCAGTGACCTGCAAGCGTATGTTGGAGACGAAGGATGGTGGTGCTCCATCTGGGCACTTGGTTGTGTACCATCCAGCAGCGGCAGTCTCGCATCGTGCGGCAGTTCCATGTCAGCCAATTTTCCCCAGCTTTGCGTCTGAGTTTGAAGGCGGACCGTAGGACATGGAGCTGGAGCGTATTGGCTTGTTGAAGTTCAGCATGAGACCAGTACACAGCACCAGCCGTCCATTGAAATTGTGACGAAACCAGCGTGGAGATCATGTACACTTTCTTCCCCCAGGGCGCACCCGCTTGGAGAAGCTCACGATGTTTGGCGGCAGCTCCCCTTGCACGACCGAGGAGCTCTTTGGCTTGTTGCGACTGGGGCTCATGAAACGAGAAGGCAAGCCCCAAGACCTTCAGAGAGTCATCAGCAGGGGCAATGGTGAAGACCTCATCCCCGACCTGCGCCTTACGCACCCCTTTGTAAAATGCATTGGCAACGATCTTCGTCTTATTTGTGGCAAGGTGAAGCCCAGCACGTGCCAAATACCGCTCTAAGACCTTAATGCGCTTGCAGAGCTTGGCGAAGTCCTTCTCAAAGATAAAGATATCGTCCTGGTAGAAGATCAAGTAATCGACATCGAGTGTCCCAAAGGATTGCCAGCCTTTGGTCTCAATGAGACGAGTGAGCATCGCGTCCATCACCATGCCAAATAGCTCTGCACTTTCAGGAGCCCCCTGCTTGATTCCAATGTTGGGTGCGATCTCTACCAAATCACCCCCCGGCACCTTCCCAACGAGCTTATAAGTGCGGAGTTGTGCCAAGAGATAGCGGAGCTCATGCGGGAGAAGGTGGGAACCAAGGGTGGTCTTCAGAAACTCCACCACTTTGAGTCTGTCGAGTTTGTCGAAGGCACCAGAGATGTCCAGCTTGCAGAGGAGGAGGGGAAGCTTCCATTCGTGCGAAACATCTCTCACCCTCGACACCGTGCCGATCACGTCCGCAGCTTGGCGACCTTTGCCACAACCAGAACAGCGGGAGCCAGTACGTAGCACAGGAAGCGCCCGTGAGCAGACCATCTTGGTGACCATTTTGTGGAAGACAGAGCTGACACATATCGGACGCAGGTCTTTGGGGGATGCAGGGTTGTCAACTTTGGCAAGCAGAGCGAGAAAGTTCTCCTGCCAGGGTACCGGCATCTCAGTTTCCTCAACAATACGATTCACAAGTGCAACGAGTTGAGGAGCAAGAAGGTCATGGCTTGCAATTTCACGAAGTAGCGCAACGCAGACACCATCTGGGCCAACTGCACTGACAGTCCTCATCTCCTGGAGAACTGTACGCATCTCGATGATCGTAAAAGGTTCGAAGATCTCCCCAAGCTGAACATTGACAATGTGCTCCTCAAGCAAGTCATCCCAGTCAGTCATGCACTTGTTGACAAGCTTGGCCTCCAAGTGGTCTTTGATCTCGTCCGTAAGGCATGCCGAGGAGCGATTTTCCAGGAGGCCACCCCACCACCCTCTTTTCCGTTCTTTCTCCCTCGGAAGCGCACGGTACTGGGCCCAGTCACCCTGTAAGATCGCCGACAGACGACGACACTGCCACTCTTTTTTCTTGCGTCTGCGTAGGCGGTGAGCGTCTTTCCACAGGCGACTGTTGTTCCTGTCTTCACGTGCAGCCGCAAAAGCAGACTTTATTTACCTCAGCGTCGTCCTTGTAGCCCGTGGTGGTCCTGGGTGCCGTGCAGTCCGCGGCCAAACGGCTGACGTCCTCAACAGCTTCAATGGAGTCCAGGGCGGGCAACTCTCTGCACATCCGTCTGGGTCTGGAGTCATTCCCCCATTGTTGCTTCCCAGTTTTCCTGGTGTACACGTCGACCCAGATTGCTGCATGGTCTGCGCCAATCAGGTGCCTCCTGTCAGGTTCGATGAAGAGCTTGTCGAGCGAGAGGTGGCGGTGCCATAGCATATCAATCTGTCTGCCAGTTCTAAGCGCATCACGGGGAAAATGAGTGGGGGTGTGGAACTGCACGACGTCAGGTGGAACTGGGCGAAGGCCACCCTCCGCAAACTGTTCAACCAACACGTTGAAGTTGTTAGACCCAGCAGCCAACATATCAACCCCACAGAGACTGCCCTCAACTTCGGCATCAACCCAGGGGATCGTCTCGTTCACGTCAGCGCCACAGAGCATGGGGAGGTGCCGCCAAGAGGAAGGACAGCTCTTCATGAACTCAATGACAGCAGCCTGGTACTTCGCGTTCGTCACCCCTGTGAAGGCATGTAACGAACCAAGTACAACTCTTCCCAACCCAACCAAGCGAACTTGCACCCATATGCCTCGTCTCGTGGCCACCTTGGAGATCACACAGTCAAACTTGTCAATTGCAATTCCCACACCAACGCCCCTCCACATGTCCTTGTCCCGGAATGACACCCAGTGAAAGTGTTCGGAGTCCTCCACTGTCCATCCATCTTTGGCCCGGGAGATCTCCTGTACGAATAGAACATCAGCATCAAGTGCAGCCATATCGAGCAAGTTTAGCCCCTGGCCACCTAAATTCCATTGCATGACCCTCCCCCATCGGTGTTTTCCACACTGAGTAGGAAGACCAGATTCCTTCACCCCAGAAGAAGCCTTAGGCTGCCAAGAAGAGGACGAAGGAGTGAAACAAGCTTTGACCCGACCTCACAGCTCAAGTTCGAAAGCTGCCTTGGCAGCCTCCACTGTGCAACCTGCCACCAGCGCAATTGCATCCAGGTTAACCCACCCGCTGGACATAGTAATCACTTCTGCTTGCTTGGGCGGTCGGTGGGTAGCGGACGCCAGTTTTTGTGGTCCGCACCAAATGGTGCCTGCGCTCCAATCCATGTCGTAGGAAGCCGCCAGCGTGTGGTCCAAGTTGAGCACGCCGCCTCCTTCATCCTTAACGTCTGCTGCCAGCTGGATCGTCACACGGCGGACCATGCTGATGTGTGCCGTCCTTGCACGGGCCACTTTGGTTTTCATAAACGCCACCCAGGCAAACTTTTCCTCCCCCATATTGCGGGTGCTTTGGAAGACGACTTTTGCTTGGGCCACTGCGCGTACAACCTTCCACATCCTCTCCTTCATTGCCGCAAAGTTCTCCCCTTCTCGAAGAGAAAACCGAATCATGCCTACACTTCGCCTGGGTCCAAACACGGAGATCTTCTCTGCATCAAGGAGTGGAGCAACCTCGGGCAGCTTGAGCACTCCCTCCGCCTCGGCCTCAATGACAGCGCGTCTTGTGTCCTGGAGCCAGCCACCCACGATCAAGGTACGTTGGTCTTCTTCAGAAAGAGTGTCCCCCGCACTTCGCCCCGATCCCGATGCACCCTCGCCTCCAAGATTGGGATCTCCACGAGCAGCTGAGCCAGGAACTCGTCCTCCAGTTGTGGCCACTCCATTTCTCCTCCGCAAGTAGTCACCCCAGGGGTCCGGTTGAGCGACGGGTCCAACTTTGGCAAATTCACCCTCCACTGTGCGGGCATCAGGCTCTCTGTTCCTGACCTCTTCAAGTTGGACCTTGAGATTCTTGACGTCCTCAGTGAGCGAGTCCAGCTTCGGTTGCATGCTGTCACTCGCCTTCTTGATGTTCTGCACGTCCTTTTCGTTGATCTTGACTCTGCCAGCAAGGGAAGCAATGTCGCCAACCTGCTTCTTCTGGATAACTTCGGTCCTGTCGAGTCTTCCTTCTGCTTTGTCGAGTCGGTGCTCAAAAGTCTTCCAGGCCTCTTTCATGTCCTGGGCGTGCAGTTGTAGTAGTTGACGAAGCTCACTTCCCGAGACAGGTCGATCGTCAGGGCGAAGTTCCCCTCTTGGTGGCGGGCGTTTAGACGGGCTTTCCTCTGTATCACGATCTCGCCTCCCAGCTTCACCACCATCAGAGTCGAACTCATCCCTGCGTTTTCTCTTTTCCATCTTGGGTCCCATGTCGACTTCCTCCTTCTTCACGGCAATCTCAACCTCCATGTCCGACTCGTTCTCTGCAACCTCAGTGGGGGAGCCGTCAAGGACTTCCGCGTCAACTTCATGAAGCTGGGTGGGGGCCTCATCAGGCATCTCCATCGTGCCAAGAGAAGACAGGCGGAGAAAGATCACCCCCAAGAAGACAGAGTGGCCGCCAGTTCACGATGTCCTCCCGGACCAACACACCAAGGTGGTAAGGCAAGAAGAGGACCTGGCCGCCAAAGACCCCGGTGAACTCTCAGATAAGGAAGACCAGGAGAAGATCACCCCCAGGTAGACGTGGTGGCCGCCAGATCACTATGTCACCCGGGACCAGAACTGTCAAAGGAGTAAGGCAGCAAGAGGGACTGGCCGCCAGCGTAAACGTCGAACAAGCGGAGGGAATGTTGGGCAGAAGAGAGAGAAAGGAGCGGAGGGCAACAGGCAAGAAAGGTTTGGGCCAGATGCTTGAGCCGTAGCCATT